GCTATATATTCTGCCTCCATTGTTGACAATGCAGTTGATTTTTGTTTCTGAGATTTCCATGAAATTGGGCCACCGCACATTGTTACCACGTAACCAGAACAGGACTTTCTTGTATGAATATCATTTGCCCAGTCTGAGTCGCTAAATGCTTTTAATTATTCATCCATTTAAAAGTATCTTATCTTGTAATCTTTTGTACCAATTAAATATTTTAAGATCCTTTTTGCAGCTTTCCAATGAACTTTTCGAGGACTATTGTTGTATCTCGCAAGATAATTGACACTGAAAGATATGTCTGGACGTGTACTGTTGGATAAATAAGATAAAGCACCAATTAATTCTTGATAAGGCCTTTTTTCCATATAATTGTTTTCTTCTGTAGTTATAGGTTCTTCAATTTGTAATAGTTTTATATTATTTTCTAAAGGAGTACACACACTGTTTGCCTCTAAACAATTGAATTTTTGCAATATTGTATTAATGTAGTTTTTCTGACTAATTTCAATGTTTCCTTTTGATGATTCTCTTTTTTTATCAAAACCAACTATATTTTCCACTTCACCTAAATCTTTCGTTTCAAATCTATTTTTCAACATATCTTTTGTCTCCTTTAACAACTTTTCTTAATTACACGCTAGTAGGATGTCGTCAACATAAACCAATATAATTACGATTTCTAAATTCGAACCTTTAATATACAAACATTGATCAGTTTGAACTTGTTTCATACCAATTTCTATTAAAAAATTATTCAATTTTTTGTTCCATTGTTTGCTGGCTTGTTTAAGACCATATAGTGGACGTTTTAATAAACAAACTTTGTCATTATTTTGTATGCCTGGTTGTAATGGGTGTTCCATATAAATTACATCTTCAAGGTCGCCTTGTACAAATGCTTTGATAAAATCCATGTGATGTAGGTAAAGCTCATTTTTAACACATAACGCGAAAAGCAAACGCAAGGTTTCATGTCTCACTGGAGAGTAAACGTCATCATAATATATACCTTGTTGTTGTTCGCAACCTCTAACAACCAATCGAGCTTTAATTTTAGTTGATCCAGAACAATTTTTTGTCGTGAATAGCCATCTATTTCACAATATTTTTTCTGCTTTTGGCCGACCTACAAATTCCCAGGTCTCATTTTTCTTTAAACTTTGTAATTCAGATTTGATTGCGTCCAACCATTTTTCCTTTTCATTACTGTTCATAACATCATTATACGAACTAATATTCGCTGCTACTACCAAATTTGCCTTTTGCTTAAAAATCTTTTTAGGCCTTCCTTTTCTGCCCGTTCTCAATATACGAGGTCTGCCTTTAGCATTTTCTACTTTTTCAGTTTTCTTAGGTGAATTTTCATTTTCAATATCTGAACTTTCTTCATTTTCATGGCTACTTAATGAACTTTTGCACTCTAGAAATCTCTCTATCCGTGCCATTTTCATCTACATTTTCTCCATCAAGAAAAATATCCTCTTTAATATCAATGTTACTAACATCAACATTTTCTTTTGAACACAAATTACCATCAACGCTAACTGACTCTATCATACCATCTAAAAAGAAATAATTATTTAAATTTGTTTTCAAAAAACCTTACATCCCTTCTTTTAACAATGCTTCGCTTTCCATCCCAAAGTCTTTATGCTTTAGAATTTGAACAATAACCAACAAAAATGTATTCTTCTCCTTTGGGTTGTAACTTTGAACGTTTTGGTCCTTCATATAGCGCTACACATTTGCTGCCAAATGTCCTCAGATGATTAATTTTGGGTTTATTACCAAAAAAACAATTCATACGGCGTTTTATTATGTTTAATTGAACTACATGGACTTCTATTTCTAATATATACTGATGTATTTAGCGCTTCGGCCCATAAACTTTTTGGAACTCTTGAATCAGTTAATAGACACCTTGTCATATCCATCAGGGTCCGGTTTGTTCTCTCGGCAACTCCATTTTGCTGCGGAGTATATTCCACAGATAATTCTCTTTTTATTCCATGTTGCTTTAGATACATTTCAAATTCTTTAGATAAATATTCTCGTGCGTTGTCACTTCTCAAGCATTTAATTTTCTTTCCGGTCTGACATTCAACAAAATTTTTGTAGTTCTTGAAAGCTTCGAAAACTTCACTGCGATTTTTCAAAAACGTAATTTCAATGTATCTGGAAAAATTATCGATAAACGTCACAAAGTATTGAGCACCGACCATTAATTTCTCACTAAAAGGTCCACAAATGTCAGTATGTATTACCTCCAGAATATCTGATGATTTTCTTGTTGAACTACTATAAGGTAATTGATGAATTTTCGACTTTTCACAAACCATACATTGAAGTTTCCTGATGTCAAACTTTCCAGTTAACCCATCGACCATATTATATTGTTTTAATTTTATGACGTCATTAAAATTCAAGTGACCATAACGTTGGTGCCACATAATAATATCATTATTACCGACCGTATTGTGTAAACAATAGGTAGGTTATGTGATGGCAACAAATTTTGCATATCGAGTTTTCGGTGGGAACGTATTTCTCCATAGTAGGGAAGTGTAAATAAACTATTTTTAGCAACCTGTCGGTCTGTCGGTCTGTCGGTCTGTCGGTCTGTGTGTGCACGCGTGTATCTCAAGTTCGGCTGAACCGATTTTGATGAAATTTTATATGTAAGTTTGTTTCCGCCATGGCACGGATCGATCAACTTTTGGTATATATCAGGCCTCGGGAACTGCACTTTTTAGCGGGCCTATTTTACATTTTTGAGGATATTGAAGAACATATTCAACCGATGTACTTGAAATTTTATATATAAGCTCAGCTCGACCGTCCGCAAAAATTCGCATGTTTTGGAAGAAATCAGGCATGGGCAACTAGCCGTTTACTACGGGCCAAACATACACTTTTGTGTATATAAAGAGAAATAATCAACCGATTTCATTGAAATTTAATATATGAATTCCTCATATTAAAGCAATGAATATATAACTTTTTTGGAAAGATCAGGGCTCATTTTTTACCATATCCACAGAACAAATTGATGGAATTTCTTGAAATCTGATATTTGAGTTCTGATTGTTACCGAAACTAACTGGCGAGCATTTCAGGGAATTCGGGTAGCACAAAGCGAAACTCTACTAAGAGCCAAATTTACATTTTTCTAAGTATGTTAACTATAAGCTTACTAATGTCCTAAAAATTGGAAAGAAGTATTTAACAGACATTTTTATAATATTTTGTAACACTTTCATTTAACTAGACAACACAATGCGGTCGGTTATGTGCTGACCACATCAGATTTTTTTTTATATCGTTTACTGATAATAAAGAAAAATCGGTTTTGTGTTGCTTTAGTTTATATAAGTCGTTATATTTTTCCGCTAACATTACACACAAGCCATTTTCTGATTTTACTGTAGCTTCATTTTGGTTGAAAAATACTTTAAAATTATTACTTGAAATTTTTGAAATTGATATTAAATTGTATTTTAATTCTGGTACATATAAAACATCTTTCAACATTATTTTTAATATTTCTTTATTTCCATTAACTACATCTAAATAAATGTTGCCACAACCATAAGATTTAATTTGTAAATTACCTGCAGTTTGAATTTTACTTATTTTGTTTGAGGTCCACTTTAAGAATAAATTTTTGTTATTGCACATATGTGCAGTAGCTCCACTGTCTAGATACCAATTATTTTCATTAATATTTCCCGAACTTTCATAAGAAACTGTCATCACTGCATTAACTGCTTTTCCTTGATTTAAACTCTTATTGCCTTTACAATAATTTTCTTTAGCTTTGTAATCTCGATTTCTTTTAAAACAATCAACGGATTTGTGACCAATCTTTCCGCAACTAAAACATTTTCCATCAAACCGAAAACTCCGTGGATTTCTTCTATATTCTCCTTTTTCTTTCGGTTTATTGTCGTTATAATGTTGGTAGCTTTGCCTAATATTTTTTGAAATTAATGCATTAGTTTCATTCTTACTCTCATTTATATTACTGCGGCGTGTTTCTTCCTCTAACAACTTTACTTTGAGTTCATCTGGTTCTGGCAAATTGTCACGAGTCTCTATTGCAACACAAAAATTCTCAAATTAACTAGAAAGTGAATTCATCATCATGATAGATACTAATTCTTTTGGTATCTTAACTCCCATATCCTCCATTTCGTCTATAAGATTCTGAAATTCCCGTAAATGCTCACTCATACTTTGATCAACATCCTTTTTTAATAAAAATAACTTTTTGTACAGCATAACCTTTTTTGCAGGCCCTTTTGATGCATAAATTTTTTCTAAAGTTTTCCACGCTGCTTCTGATGACGTCACTTTCTTTATATTAGTTAGTTGATTTTCTCCCACACATAAAAATATTAAAGCCAAGGCTTTTGCATCCTTCATATTCCAAATTTTTCTTTCAGCCTCAGTTGTTGGACACTTTCTTCATCTGTTACATAGCCCCAATAATTATTAAAAATTAACACGCTTCTAATTTTCAACTTCCATGATTCATAATTGGATTCATTCAATTTTTCAATATTATTCGGCAAATTCATTTTTGTTTTAATTCAAAAATATTTAAAATTTATTAAAATTTAATTTTTACTCAAAATAATTATTACTACTGTAATTTTCAATAAATATCTTATATTCTTAATTTTTATTTAACACGTGGATTTAACATGAACTGGGCCCATAACCTGTTAAGTTCAGTTCAGTTAAATTATGCTATAAGAATATATGACTTTATTCAATAAATGTTCAATAGAGACTAAATTTACATAATTATTAATATGTTAATATAATGAAAAAGTGTACGATAAAAATCCAAAGTATGCAATAGAAATATATGTGTGGGAATAGTATCGATATATAACTAAATTAAAAATGCATGTTTTAAACAACAATGCTTTAAGAAAATATTCGAACAATATTATTAAATTCATGTAGAAAGCTTAAAAAAAATACTCAGGAAGCTTTAAAAAAAAATATACATATATACATATTTATGTACTTAAAATTTTTGCGAATTTTTCCAAACTATTATAACAATATTTTTTTGGAAATCTTCTTTAAACTTTTATAATAATATTTATCTGTTATATATTAAAAAAAGTAAAGCAAAAAATTTAAACAAAATAAAAAAAAAATATTTTTTTAAAGTAATCCAAAAAAAGAAAAATATTACAACCATCCAGGCAAGCATTGATCCAATAACCTTCTGGCTATCAGACTACCACGCTACCCACTAGGCTACGCAGTACCTTGAATTTTCCTTTATAATTCTATATTTTATTCATATTTCGTATAACTCATCAAAAACCATCATATTTTACATTATATATATATAGCTACTTCTCAGGTACCAAAAAGTACGGGTACTTCTAGAAGGGCTAGAGACATGGGACAAAAGGCATTAGATAGGGTTTTGCCTCCAGTGTCCCAGAAAAATCTGACATTGGAACTTTTAAGCCCCGAAATACCTCTATTTTAAGATTTCCTGAAAAATTTTTGTATAACAAAGCACCTTCTTCTTTTATACTTTATATTACTAGAAACGCATACCAACAAATGA